GTGGGTATGGTCGTATGTGATTGTAAACAGACAATTTGCTGCTTATATTACACACACAAACAAATTGATCAACGCAAGCGGTTTGAAGTGAAGTTTGTCCAATATCATAATAAATGTGTCTAGTTACCACACGATCCCAGAACAATCCGATGATGGCAAAGGTCCACACGTTTTCAGGAGTTTTACACTCGGAAACAGGATACTCAATTGTGATTATTTTTATCAATTCAATCCACAGTTGGCACACATGGCAATATTCCAGATACGTAGATGTTTTGTATGGCATGAATGTAGTCAATGATTTGCCCATAGAAGAACAGGCAGAACGAATCATAACCGTAAACAAATGAATTCACGAGCAAAGGGCTTGGGACCATTGCATCAAGCGTTGACAATGCCATGGTCCGTAGGCGCCGGTAGAAGGTCGAGAGCGACCAACGTTTCCTCTATCACATTCCACGACAATGCTCAAGTCCACTGTCCAGGCCCATGGCTTTGTGGCCTTCAATCGCCGTTATTGCCCGTTACAAGACGACTCCGAATCATCCGACCTTTAAGCTTCATAGGGCTGAACTAACCACACTCTCACCGTGATTTTGTCATTCGGTCGCTCATCATCCCGCGACCCGCGCGTGTTGCACAGTCAATCAACAGCATGTGATTGTCCCGTTCCGGGAGGGCGGTAGAGACGGTAGTTGGTAGGGCTGGACCAGAGGGAGAAAATCGTACGATTTTGATGTCAAACTGAGAGGCGCAAAGTGGGTCACCACGAACCTAAAATCCGGGGAACCAGGCAGGGGATGAACGACATCAAAGTCGGGACGGGCCTTTGCGTGGGAAGATCTGGAACTTTTACTCTTTGGGGGCTTTGATTGATGTCTTCCAGTTCTTGGTTGATGATCGTTGTTTTGGAGCATTCGTTGTCTGTGACGAAGATTGACGAGAAGCTCCAAGCTTACCGAGACCTCAGCGGGTCATAATGAGAGATTCTCGTTGCCCCGTGTAAGAGAGCACGATGGCAGCAAAAGATACAAATATGCAAGGGATGGAATGACGGGGCGGCCCGACATGGGGTCTTCCATGCACAGTGTGTTTGGGCATTTTGTTAGGTGCACGAATCTCAGAAAAGCCGCCGATGTAGTTGTTGCACGGATATGTTATCTTCTTCGGATGTTGCCAGCAGCCTGGTTGTTGAGGCAATTTGGCAAGTACCGAAGCACAACCGTCAAGTGAACATCGACCTCGGAGGATAATGAGCATTTTGCTCACGTCTCGAGGCCTTGTGAAAACACTGCTCGTCTCCTGCTCGGATTCTGCGGGGTTTAATGATATCCCCGGATCAGGAAACCGTCGGCTATGCTGCACAGTCGACGAGGATATCGCGCCTGAAAGCCCCTGGCGCATGGCATTTTTGGCATTGCGCACGGTTCACCGATCAGAAAGAAAGCCGCAAATCGAGCAAAAGCCGCCCCCTTTTGCGGAGGAGCTTCGCATGGCTGTGGGGGTCCAATATAGTGAGTTGTCAAGTCCTAATTTTGGCGAGTCAGAACCGTTTCGATATCAAGGAAAAATTGATCTCTTCGCCGTCAACAAAAGAAGCAAAAATGCGCTCGGGCCAAAGGGTTGATTTTAAGGCAGCAAAAGCAGACTTGTTAGGGCGAATTAAGGGTGCTGTTCCCGCGGGCGCGGACAACATGTTGGGGATCTGCGGGGCCCAGCACCAGCACTAACATTTTCGTTTGCTGCTGTGCCGATCCCCTGAAAAGGCGCTGAAACCCGGCAGCGGACATCCTTGGCCGGTTCAACCCCTCCATTGATGATGTTTGGGTTGTTTTCACTTTTCAGGGCAAGGCTCGATTCAATGCCGTGTTCAACCCTCCTTCTCACGGACGGAGGTTCGGCCTTGTCGGGGGGTTTCCGTAGGAGGTTTTGCGAACCCAACAAATCTGGGGGTACGTACCGGAGATCTCATCGTAATTTTCATACATGCCGTTACGGTGTGACCCACCCGACGCCACTTTGGAAGTGGTGGTGGTGCACCCTGACGGCCCGGCTGTTAGTGCCATCGGTGCTTTGATGCGGCGCCGCGCTGTGAAGTCTACACTATGTGACTTTCGGTGCCTTTTCATCATCGGACATTTGACCTTTGTGAGCCGTATGTAAGAGCCTCGGTCAGCCTCATGGGGATGACGAGCTTATCGTTCAGTCAGCCGCCAATGTTCGTTTTGGATGGCTGCCATCGCCGATGTTGTCCTTGTGTTGGCATCTTCAAGTCATTGTCTTTCCAGTTGCCCCACGTTCCACCAGGGTATTGGACGGAGGTTACATGCGTCCATGTCGCACCAGACGTCAGCTCCCAGCGCCGGCCGGCCATTCGGATGCCGGAACCCCGCGGACAAGCTAGTGTAGATGGTAAAGATGAGCTGGGAAGTCAAAGATCCACTGACCCCAGATTCGGTTGTTGTTACTGAATCCGTGGTTGGAATGAGACCTGAGAAAGGGAACTAAATGTTGGCTAGAGGCCGGGCTGGGAAGCCTGAGATAGCTTCAACGTAATGGTTGTGACGGAGATACCATCCGAGCTGCGATGAGGTGCGAGATAACAAACAGGCGGGAAATCATGCCGCTATGATCGAAGACTGAAACTAGAAGAAAGGACGACAGAAGAAGGGGATTTAATGATGTAAAAAAGAAGACGGGCCACATATGTCATGGTTGCTCCAAAACACGTCCGTATGCGGCGTGGTAATGACTGCATCCGGACTTGGGCCGTGGCTCGTGAGACAACGGGGATTCTTGGAACAGTTTGAGCAACAAAATGTCTTTGGTCCAATATGGGAGAAGATGTCGATTGAATGAATTGCCATGAGGACTTGTGGACACAGCATATCGCTGTAAGAACGTCGTGTATTCGGTGTACGAAGCTGACGATTGTCAAGAGTGTGGTTGGGCAGTCGGTTCGGTTCCTGGCATTGTGATTGGAGCAATGGACCTTCCCCAACGATCCCGTCTCAATGAGAATCTCCTTCTGTGATTGGATCGTGGCCAACAGTTCTCAAAGGGGACCCACAAATGGCATTGCTTGGCTAAATCCACCCCTCACTTCCGCCCTTTTTGGTGACAGGGCTTGGCACTTGCCCCTGGCTTCTCCAATTGACGAACCCCAAAGGTTCCCAGATCTTGCCGAATTTGAAGGGCGAATCCCACCTTGATGCCTTTCACCGCCTTCGATAGGCGGGAGCGGATGGCAAGATTGACCTCCATAGCGATACCATTTGGCGGGGTTGAGATGTCACATTGGACAGGACATCAGAAAGCTTAAGCATCAAAGGAACAAAAAAGATAAAGTATGAACTGACATCTCACGTGCACTTAATCAATGAACATGGCGTCGCTTTCAGGTATTTATGCATTTTTGAACGAGACGGGCTAACTTGTTGTCCGAGTTCATCGTTGTCTTCCGTTGTGGGGGGGCCATTTTATTGTTTTGGAGTTGAGGTTCGAGTGGGAAGTACCTGTACCCGACTGCCCCACTTGTGGCTCCGATTTCCCATCAAACCCGTAAAGTTGTGTCTCGATGTCGCCCAATGTATCGTCTTCCTAGAACCTTGCGGTCTCGTTTCGAAAGTTCGGATGCAATACCCCGGCATTACGACGAATCTTTCACGGCGTCCGCTCGCTCTTGCCCCTTCACCTCCGAGTATCTTAAGGTTCCCGTGCCCTCTTCCGGTCCCCTCCTTCCTTCCAGGTTGCTGCCCTCCCGTCTTCGTTCCTTCCCTCAATCATCCTTCTGGTCTTGTGGTCTGGTCTTGCCGTCCTCGTCCATTATTGCTTCAGGAATCTCGCCGTCCCTCCGCGTCGTCTTCCTCCTCCTTCCTCCCACCGTATCTCCCACCAAGACCTTCTGACCAAGGCAATCGCGTTTGCGGCAATCCTCCCTCCTCCAGCCAGCATCCCTCCATCCTAGCTCAAGATCTTTTCTTGCTGCACCTTGCTCGCTAAGACCGAAAAGTCGAAAAACAGAGCTTGCGCAAAGTCGACTTTCATTGTTTATTGTTGACGTCGAAATTGATCGAGCAATCGCACGACACGCACTTCCCCCTACATCCCTGCAGAGATATCCCGTGCGACTTGTTTCGTAATTTTCCAACCACTTTCCACTTCTCCACGACAACTTGACTCGGTGAGTTTGCATGCCCTCCACCCCAATCCACTGCAGACCTGCAAGCGGCGCCCCTTCACTTGGTACATGGCCCATCACTGCCCCGGTTCCCAGTGTCTCCCCTCCTGCTCGTGCCTGGTCTCGTCACAATTCGACTCGCCCTACCCCAATCCCAAACCCAAAACCAACAAAAGTTGATGCGACCATCGCACCCACCAACCCTCCATCTTCTTCTTTCCACTACCATAAACTTTAATCACCACCAGCTTCCCTCCCTTCCCTCACGACATCCAACCAGCATACCTGACGACCATTGTTTTTCCGAGGAGCTGGAAACTGACAGCAGCACACTCTTTTGCAGGCAATTTGCTAGCTGAACTGAGCTGAAGAACCGAGACAATCCACTGACCGATACTTGAATTCGGCTGTTTCGGGAAATTTACGGCGACCGAGTGTAAAATCGAGAGCGGCTTCCTCCACACCGCATTCGATCCGCATCGACGACTCCTTCGACTCGACGAAACGCCACATATTTACAGACAAAATGGCGGACACGACCAGCAGCGACGCCGTCGTCAAGGCTTCGTACGCCGCGAAGCACAACCTGGCCCCCCATTTCATTGGCGGTAACAGGCTTGAAAATGCCCCTCCCTCCAAGGTCAAGGATTTTGTGGCTTCCCACGACGGCCACACTGTCATTACCAACGTACGTTTCTTTGCTCTTCCGGCAGTCCAACACACAATTTGCTGACGTCTATCTGTTCTCTAGGTCCTTATTGCCAACAACGGTATTGCTGCCGTCAAGGAGATCCGCTCAGTAAGGAAATGGGCCTACGAGACATTCGGCGACGAGCGCGCCATCAAGTTCACCGTTATGGCCACCCCCGAAGATTTGCAGGCCAATGCCGACTACATCAGGATGGCTGATCACTACGTCGAAGTCCCCGGCGGCACAAATAACCACAACTACGCCAATGTCGAGCTTATCGTTGATATTGCCGAGCGTATGGATGTCCACGCTGTGTGGGCTGGTTGGTGAGTAGAAGAGAGTCGTGCTTCTGGCGTTGATGGGATGATACTGACTGCGAATAGGGGCCACGCCTCCGAGAACCCCAAGCTTCCCGAGTCCCTTGCGGCTTCCCCCAAGAAGATCGTCTTCATCGGTCCCCCGGGTTCTGCCATGCGCTCTCTCGGTGACAAGATTTCCTCGACGATTGTCGCCCAGCACGCCGACGTTCCTTGTATCCCTTGGTCTGGTACCGGTGTCAACGAGGTCACGGTCGACGACAACGGCATTGTTACGGTTCCCGATGACATTTACCTCAAGGGCTGTGTCAACTCGTGGCAGGAGGGTCTCGAGAAGGCCAGGGAGATTGGTTTCCCAGTAATGATCAAGGCCTCCGAGGGTGGTGGTGGCAAGGGTATCCGCAAGGTCCTCAGCGAGGACAACTTCGAGTCGCTTTACAATGCTGCCGCTAGCGAAATTCCCGGCTCGCCCATCTTCATCATGAAGCTCGCCGACAGCGCCAGGCATTTGGAGGTCCAGCTTCTTGCCGATCAGTATGGCAACAACATCTCGCTCTTCGGCAGAGATTGCTCTGTTCAGCGCAGACACCAGAAGATTATCGAAGAGGCCCCCGTAACCATCGCCAAGCCCACTACCTTTAAGGCCATGGAGGATGCTGCTGTCCGTCTTGGTCGTCTCGTCGGTTACGTCTCGGCCGGTACCGTCGAGTACCTCTACTCTCACGCCGATGACAAGTTCTACTTCCTTGAGTTGAACCCCCGTCTGCAGGTCGAGCATCCTACCACGGAAATGGTCAGTGGTGTCAACCTTCCGGCTGCTCACTCCAGGTTGCCATGGGTATTCCCCTCCACCGCATCCGCGACATCAGACTTCTCTACGGAGTCGACCCCAAGACCGCCACCGAGATCGACTTCGAGTTCAAGAACCCCGAGTCTGAAAAGACCCAGCGCAGGCCCACCCCCAAGGGCCATACCACTGCCTGCCGTATCACCTCTGAGGATCCTGGTGAGGGCTTCAAGCCCTCCAACGGTGTGTTGCACGATCTCAACTTCCGTTCGAGCTCCAACGTCTGGGGTTACTTCTCCGTCGGTTCCGCCGGTGGTATTCACAGTTTCTCCGACTCCCAGTTCGGTCACATTTTCGCTTATGGTGAGAACCGTGCCGCTTCGCGCAAGCACATGGTTGTCGCCCTCAAGGAATTGAGCATTCGCGGTGACTTCCGTACCACCGTCGAATACCTCATCAAGCTTTTGGAGACTGAGGCTTTCGAGGACAACACCATCACTACCGGCTGGCTCGATGAGCTCATCTCCAACAAGCTCACTGCTGAGCGTCCCGATCCCATCCTGGCCGTCGTTTGCGGTGCCGTCACCAAGGCCCACATTGCCAGTGAAGCCTGCATGGCCGAGTACCGTGCCGGTCTCGAGAAGGGTCAGGTCCCCTCCAAGGATATTCTCAGGACTGTCTTCCCCGTTGACTTCATTTACGAGGGTTACCGCTACAAGTTCACTGTCACCAGGTCGAGCGCTGATAGCTACCATCTCTTCATCAACGGCTCCAAGTGCACCGTCGGCGTCCGTGCTCTGAGCGACGGTGGACTCCTCATCCTTCTCAACGGTCGCAGTCACAACGTCTACTGGAAGGAAGAGGTTGCTGCTACCCGCATGTCGGTCGATAGCAAGACCTGTCTGCTCGAGCAGGAGAACGATCCCACTCAGTTGCGCACCCCCTCTCCCGGTAAGCTCGTCAAGTACACCGTCGAGAACGGCGAGCACGTCAGCGCCGGTCAGACCTTCGCTGAGGTTGAGGTCATGAAGATGTATATGCCTCTGATTGCCCAGGAGGACGGTATCGTTCAGCTCATCAAGCAGCCCGGAGCTACCCTCGAGGCCGGTGACATCCTCGGTATCCTTGCTCTCGATGATCCTAGCCGTGTCAAGCAGGCTCAGCCTTTCCTCGGCCAGCTTCCCGAGTTCGGTGCTCCTGTTATCGTGGGTCAGAAGCCCGCTCAGAAGTTCCGTCTTCTCTATGACACTCTCCAGAACATCCTCATGGGTTACGATAACCAGATCATCATGCAGCAGACACTGAAGGACCTGGTTGAGGTTCTTCGTGATCCCAAGCTCCCCTACAGCGAGTTCACCGCTCAGTTCTCGGCCCTTCATGCTCGCATGCCCCAGAAGCTCGATGCCCAGCTCACTCAGGTCCTCGAGAAGGCTTCTTCGCGCTCCGCCGAGTTCCCTGCCCGCAATCTCAGCAAGGTCTTCCAGAAGTTCCTGGACGAGAACCTCGTCTCCAAGTCTGACGCTGAGTTGCTGAAGACCACTCTCGCGCCTCTCACTACTGTCATCGACCAGTACTCCGAGGGCCAGAAGGTCCATGAGCTCAATGTCATCCGTGATCTCCTTACTTCTTACGTCGAGGTCGAGCGCCTCTTCTCCGGCCGTCGTCTGCAGGACGAGGAGGTCATCCTCAAGCTGCGTGACGAGAACAAGGAGGACATCAAGAAGGTCACCCAGACCGTTCTCTCCCATAGCAGAGTTGCCGCCAAGAACTCGCTCATTCTCGCCATTCTGGACGAGTACCGCCCCAACAAGCCTAATGTCGGCAATGTCAGCAAGTACCTTCGCCCCGTCCTTCGCAAGCTTGCCGAGCTCGAGTCTCGTCAGACTGCCAAGGTCTCCCTCAAGGCCCGCGAGATCTTGATCCAGTGCGCCCTGCCCTCTCTCGAGGAGAGAACCGCTCAGATGGAGCACATTCTTCGCTCCTCTGTTGTCGAGTCTCGCTACGGTGAGACTGGCTGGGATCACCGTGAGCCCAGCTTGGACATCATCAAGGAGGTTGTGGACTCCAAGTACACCGTCTTCGATGTCCTGACCCTCTTCTTCGCCCATGAGGATCCTTGGGTGTCCCTCGCTGCCCTTGAGGTCTATGTTCGCCGCGCTTACCGTGCTTACGTCCTCAAGAAGATTGAGTACCACGCCGACGATACTGATTCTCCTTCGTTCTTGTCCTGGGACTTCTCCCTGCGCAAGCTTGGCCACTCTGAGTTTGGCCTGCCTATCCTGTCCGCCGCTCCCTCCACCCCGGGCACCCCTGTGGAGAGTTCCTTCAAGCGCATCAGCTCCATCAGCGATATGTCTTACCTCTCCCACAAGACTCAGGATGAGCCAACCCGCAAGGGCGTGATCATTCCCTGCAAATTCTTGGATGATGCGGATGAGCTCCTCAGCAGGGCTCTTGAGAAGCTCCCTGTTCTCGGTGCCCGCAAGAAGAGCAGCGTGATCCCTGATCTCAACGAGAAGCGCAGACCTGCTCTCCAGCGCCTGGAGACCTTTGACGAGCTTTCCGCCGTCGTCAATGTTGCCGTTCGCGACGCCGAGGGTCGCAGCGATGAGGAGATTCTTAAGGAGATTCTTCCTCTTGTCCAACAGCACAGGGAAGATTTGGTTGCCCGTCGGGTCCGTCGCATCACGTTTGTCTGTGGTCGCAACGATGGCTCATACCCTGGTTACTTCACCTTCCGTGGCCCCGAGTACGTTGAGGACGATAGCATCCGTCACAGCGAGCCAGCTCTTGCGTTCCAGCTCGAGCTCGGACGTCTCTCCAAGTTCAAGATCAAGCCTGTCTTCACTGAGAACAAGAACATTCATGTGTACGAGGCGATTGGCAAGGGTGTCGAGACTGACAAGCGCTACTTCACTCGCGCTGTCATTCGTCCCGGCCGTCTGAGGGATGAGATTCCTACTGCCGAGTACCTCATCTCTGAGGCCGATCGTGTCATCAACGACATTTTCGATGCTCTTGAGATCATCGGTAATAACAACTCCGATCTCAACCACATGTTCTTGAACTTCACCCCGGTCTTCCAGCTTCAGCCTGAGGAGGTTGAGCACTCTCTCCAGGGCTTCCTTGACCGCTTCGGCCCTCGTGGCTGGCGCCTCCGTGTTGCCCAGGTCGAGATTCGCATCATCTGCACCGACCCTAACACTGGCATGCCTTATCCCCTGCGTGTCATCATCACCAACACCTCCGGATATGTCATCCAGGTCGAGCTTTACGCCGAGCGCAAGTCCGAGAAGGGCGAGTGGGTGTTCCACTCCATCGGTGGCACCACCAAGATTGGCTCCATGCACTTGCTGCCGGTCAACACTCCTTACCCCACCAAGAACTGGCTCCAGCCTAAGCGTTACAAGGCTCATCTCATGGGCACTCAGTACGTCTATGACTTCCCTGAGCTCTTCCGTCAGGCCATCCAGAACAGCTGGGCCAAGGCTGTCCAAAAGAACCCCGCTCTTGCCGAGAAGCAGCCCCCTGTTGGCGAGTGTATCGAATTCGGCGAGCTTGTGCTCGATGACCACGACAACTTGACCGAGGTCTCCCGTGAGCCTGGTACCAACACTTGCGGCATGGTCGGCTGGCTCATCCGTGCTAGAACCCCCGAGTACCCTAGCGGTCGCAAGTTCATTGTTGTTGCCAACGACATCACCTTCAACATTGGCTCTTTCGGTCCCAAGGAGGACAACTTCTTCTACAAGTGCACTGAGCTTGCCCGTAAGCTGGGCATTCCTCGCATCTACCTGTCCGCCAACTCGGGTGCCCGCTTGGGTCTTGCCACCGAGCTTATGCCTCACTTCAACGTTGCCTGGAAGGACGCCAGCAAGCCTGAGGCTGGCTTCGAGTACCTCTACCTTGACGATGCGGCCAAGAAGCGCTTCGAGAACAGCGTTATCACCGAGGAGATCACTGAAGGCGATGAGAAGCGCCACAGGATTGTCACGATCGTCGGTGCTGAGGATGGTCTTGGTGTTGAGTGCTTGCGTGGCTCTGGTCTCATTGCCGGTGCTACCAGCAGGGCCTACAACGACATCTTCACTTGCACGCTCGTCACCTGCCGCTCCGTTGGTATCGGTGCTTACCTTGTGCGTCTTGGTCAGCGTGCTGTCCAGATTGAGGGCCAGCCCATCATTCTCACTGGTGCCCCTGCCCTCAACAACCTCTTGGGTCGCGAGGTCTACACCTCCAACCTGCAGCTTGGTGGCACTCAGATCATGTACCGCAACGGTGTCTCTCACTTGACTGCCAACGATGACTTCGCTGGTGTCTCCAAGATCGTCGAGTGGATGTCGTTCGTTCCTGACAAGCGCAACAACCCCGTGCCTATCAGCATCAGCGTTGACACTTGGGATCGTGACATTGTCTACACCCCGCCCCAGAAGCAGCCTTACGACGTCAGGTGGATGATTGGCGGCAGGGAGGACGAGAATGGCTTCCAGCCTGGTCTTTTTGACAAGGACTCCTTCGTCGAGACTCTCGGCGGATGGGCCCGCACTGTCGTCGTCGGTCGCGCTCGCCTCGGCGGTATTCCCATGGGTGTTATCGCTGTCGAGACCCGCTCTGTTGAGAACATCACTCCTGCCGACCCCGCTAACCCTGACTCGATCGAGCAGGTTGCTAACGAGGCTGGTGGTGTCTGGTACCCCAACTCTGCCTTCAAGACGGCCCAGGCCATTAACGATTTCAACAACGGCGAGCAGCTTCCGCTCATGATCCTCGCCAACTGGCGTGGTTTCTCTGGTGGTCAGCGCGACATGTACAACGAGGTTCTCAAGTACGGCTCCTTCATCGTCGACGCCCTCGTCAAGTTCGAGCAGCCCGTCTTCATCTACATTCCTCCCTTCGGCGAGCTTCGTGGTGGTTCGTGGGTCGTCGTCGATCCCACCATCAACCCTGTCGCCATGGAGATGTATGCTGATGTTGATGCTCGCGGTGGTGTTCTCGAGCCTGAAGGTATCATTGGTATCAAGTATCGCAAGGACAAGCAGCTTGAGACCATGGCCCGTCTCGACCCCGTTTATGCCGAACTCAAGAGGCAGAGCACCGACGCTAACCTCCCCAAGGAGGAGTCTGATGCGATCAAGAAGAAGATGACTGAGCGCGAGCAGCAGCTTCTGCCCGTTTATGCTCAGATCAGCTTGCAGTTCGCTGATCTCCACGATCGTGCTGGTCGCATGAAGGCCAAGGGTGTCATTCGCGAGATCCTTGAGTGGAAGAACGCCCGCCGCTTCTTTTACTGGCGTGTGCGCAGAAGACTCAACGAGGAGTCATCCTCCGTCGTATCATCTCCGCCACTACCCCCGGCGGTGCCCTCAGCAAGGCTCTCACTGCTAACTCGACCAAGGAGCGCGCTCGCCACTTGCAGCTTCTTCAGGCCTGGAGCGGCATTGAGCAGTTCGATACTGCTGACCGTGAGGTTGCCGTCTGGTACGAGGAGAACCGCCACGAGGTCGGCACCAAGATTGATGCCCTCAAGGCTGAGCAGATCACCTCGGAGATGCGCGACCTTATCCGCACCGCTTCTAGGGGATCCGATGACGCCGCCTGGAAGGGTGTCCGTGATGTGCTGAGCGTTATGCCTGTTGAGGAAAGGGAGAAGGTTATCAAGTATCTTACTACTCTCTAAGTATGTTGAAGAATGGAGGAAGTGAGCAGGTCTGTACAAGATCAAAGGTGGCATCTTTTTGTCGAGAGCATGGTCGGAGTTGTGGAAGAGACCTTTTATTATTTTATACACTTTGATATTTCTTATGGGCATTTTTGTTATCGAGCGGATATAAAAGGAGTTACGAGAATACGATTATGGTAGATGTCACGGTGGGTTGAGCGTTGGAGGGCGCCCAATCTTACCTGGTATCTCACTTGGGCGAACAAGCGGATGGAATAGGACGGCAATAGTTATTGTTATTTGCATATCGGTACTTGTGTAGTTATTGCTATCAACATATATCGCTTAACCAACTTTACATCTTGTTTTATCGTGATCTCATCCGGTGCTAGAAATCAGAATGCTAAGCGCTACGATGGGGATGCGTCGGGTGAAGCAGAAGACGATCCAGCAGTATTGCTCTGCTAACAAGCCTGCATAGCACTTTGCGGTGATTGAGGTAGTCAAGTATCACGCCAAGGGCATACCTGAGTGATAAATTGGGGTGCATATGTCCAGACGGGCCAACCTACAAAAGATAGGACGATGTTATCTTGCAAGTTCTGCTTGTAAGGCAGAACTTATTGCAAAGCAGAACTTGGAATACTAAGGCAGAACTCGGAATGCACACTATAATTAGCCAATGTCAACCTGTGACACTGAAGAACCATACTAACAAAGGCCGGGAGGCCTTCTTATATACTGGTCTTCAGCCCCGTCCCGTGGTCCCGAGTTTACGGGACCACGGGTCCTATCTGTTGTCAATTCTATCTAGATACATGAGGCTCAACGATTGGATCGTAACAATGGGAAGGGTGGTAAGGGTTCTCTTTTTCCATTATCATCATTATCGCAACAGTGACTACAAGACGTGAATCACTGAACCATCATCAAGAACCAACCCACGCAAGCCCGTAAGTTGTCCATCATCATCAACCTCCAAATCGTTCTAATGGCGTGTAAGCTAACCTAACCTTCATCAAGCTCTCCAACATGTCCGTTTGTTCCCTCACAGAAAGCGAATGTGTCATCCTCGACTTCGGTGAGAAGCTGGATGGCCCACTTCACATCTCCAAACCCCAGGAGAACAAAGACAACAATCATGCAATGCAGTCACAAGCCAACCAGTCTCGATGCCGTCAACCGACACCCTATGCCTTCGACATGAAGTGTTTTCGTCACGAGGGAGTGTCCCAACCTGACCCCGACAGCGACGATGTTCCCGTTGGCTCGCAGATGGGACGGCCACGATCATCGTCTTTCACGCCGACCCGAAGTCAACCCGCAACTCCGCGTCCCAGTGCTATGAAAGTGCGCAGGAGGAAGGGCGGCTGGCAGACAGACGTTTGGGGGTGAAAGGTGGGATTGGAACCGAGCGCGGGACGATGGTTGCCTGGAGAGGGAGTTCCAGTGTGATGAGAAGAAACCATCCTGCCAGCCGGAGATTTAGGGCAGGGACATACACAGATGCGCGCTCTGTCTGGTAGTGTACCTACAGAAGACGGCCGGTTCCGGTGCGAGGACGGAGGACGGAAGACGGAGGAAGCCATTTTCGGGGCTGGACGGAAGGGGAGGTACCTAAGAAAAAAGGAAGGAAGGAGAAACTAAAACTGGTTGGTACGTTAGGTGAATTCAGGCAGAGAGGGAGGAATGTGAGCTGCAAGCGCGTGGACGAAACGCACTCAAGGTGGGAGAATAGATCGGATGTATGAAGTTGGCGTTGGCACTTGCGGCAGGACTAAGGATTGATTGTATTGGCGAAGGGAAGGCACTTTTATATAACGTATTCCTAGGCACCTTCAAACGTCGATGAGATGAGTGTTGTTTCAAATCATTGGGTATGTTGTGTAATTACCTTACGTGGGAAAAAGTGATGTACTGAGTGATTGTTGCTCCTCCGGAGGTCGGGATCCATTTCCGAATTTTGATTGGTTGGGCAGCGCTGCTGTTACTCCACATTACAGGCTTGGCACTTTCCTTTTTCCCGATTTCCTTTTCTTTCTTCCTTCTCCGACCAGTATCGCACAACTCACCTTCAAGGGAAGACAAACACACGATCTTGGAAAGTATTTATATGAGGCCAGCAGGTAAGATTAAGAAGCAAACGGTGCTGAACCTTCGATTTATTATCCCATCGAGACCGAGTGTCTACGACGCTACCGAGAAAAACGACGAGAGAATCCCATACCCATTGCCCCCGCAAAGTCAATCCAGCCGGCCAGCCGGCATTGCCCAGAACAAAATAAATCCCAAGTTCCAAACCCCAGTGGATGCCATCCAAGTCCAAGTCCAAAAGCATGCCTGTGAAAGCCATTGGTCTAAAATCCTCAGCCCTCGCAACCGAAAACACAAACGCTAGCTCGAGACGGAGAAAAAAAACCAAGCCACCCCAAAGAAGGTAGTGAGCATCCAGTCCTGTCAGGACCGAGATTGCTCCTCCGCTATGAGCGGAGGTCAGGCATCCGTTAACCGGCCTTATCTAGCGCCCTTGACTCCCATGCTTGCCAACATGTTGATAACGCCTTGCTCCTCGGCCGCTGGAGAAAAAACTGTTGTGTTAGTGTCCTTCTTTCACTCTAGATGGTACCTATTCTTCCATGGGAAAGTGGAACTGATGTGGATCGTGAAAACTTACTATGAGTCTCGTTGCCACCCACTTGCCCAACATTGACCACGCCCGTCTTGACATCGCCTAGCTTAATCGCCTGTGGAATTCCATTTTCATCCTCAGTGGACGACAAAACAGAAATGGCAATTTTGTATGTGCCGGACTTCGGGAAGGTGATATCATGGAAGAGTATCAAGAAAGAGGTATTTCCGTCCCCATGTACGGTTACGGCTGTTTTGAGATGGCCTTGCTGCTTCGCGATCGGCGACCGATCATCGTTGATGGGTGCGTCTGTAGCTGCGTCCACGAGTTGCAGCAGACCGTGGACCTCGGGGGGAGCCTGGCTGGCGGGCATAGGCCCGTATTGAACCACGGCTGGAATCTTGACGCTGTTCCCAGCCAGGATGTGGGGAGGAGGCTTAACAATGACCGAGAGAGGGACGTTGTTCAAGGTGGAACCGGTAGAGGCCGACATTTTGAAGATGTGATGGGCTGCTGAATACTGTTGATATCGGATATAATGAGTCAGTGAATGTCCTGGTGACTGATGTAGAACGGGAGTATCGAATCTAGAGCTTCGTCCTTGGATTTATACCTCAACAAGAAGCCCGAGTTGACTATGCCATCACACCAACATCATGTTGGTTCACGATGCAATGGTGATAAAGAACGGGGAAGGGGAAATTGGAGTTGGTAGCAGATGGTAGCAGATGGGTGCGGTACCTTGCTTGATACTGACGACCACATCGTTTCAACCCAATCGTTTGGTCCGGGTTGGTTCCGACGATACAGTGCTCTTTGTCTAATAATGACGAGGATGGGCGTCTAAGGCTGGGGCCTGACAAGAGGTAGCCCTGAGCCGTCAGATGATTCTAGTTTGTGACTGGATGTTGGAAGTCCAAGTTGATGAAGGGATATCAAGTTGACAAAGAACTGTTTTTCCGATGTTGGTGATACCAATAACAGAGCTGTCCGGGGAGAGGTTATCGGTCCGGGGGGGGGGGGCTTGATGACAATACTTATGAGCTTTTGGACTTTTCATTCTTTTTGATCCACTTGAGATTAATCGGGCTGAGGCTTTCTCCACCATATCTGGAGCCGGAGATCGTTCCGTAAATCATGGTACCGGGCTCATGGGAGATCCTGCACTGATGTGGTATGGACTGCCTTCATGAGCCAAATTTGAGTGACTGTCATATCCGGCAGGACCGAAATGGATGGGGCTAAGCAAAATCAACCCCAACCAACGTTTTGTAGGATTCGGATTCAGGTTAGGTCTCTCGGGTAAAAGGTTTGCCTACAGTACACCGGAAATATTCAGTCGTCCATCAGAACCAGGGGGTCGGCTTCCATCATTGAAGAAATGATCCAACAGTATCAAATGGCCTTTGTGAGCTCCTTGATTTCGACTTGTCTCGTTGGTCCCCTTGGCGTCATCTTCATCCGGGCCCGAGTCGTTAGCCTCAGGGTTCCTCGACTCGTGATGCAATTCGATTGTTGGCGTGGATGTCCAAGCTCGATCCACGTCCCTATGAAACAGTTGGTGCTGATCGTCGACAGGGCTCTTTCTGGGAAGTCTCGGACCAAGATCCGGTTGTGTGTTAGCAAAATCCCACCCGTTCGCTGCCAGATGGGAAGGAACGTGACAGATCGTTTGTGGCGCTCGGTTATGATGCAGGGACCAATGAGGTCCGAGATGAGCACTCCAAGTTGGATGCGCTCACAAAAGCCACGCTCTTTATAATAGGCAGAAGGCCATCATGAACTTGGATGTCTTTGATTTTCTAGACGTTTTCGTGGAAAACTTCTGCCAACAGCATCAAACGGATACGCTGAAACCAGATACCATCGCCAACACCCATCTGCTTCGCGCTGGGATACAAGGGTGAGGCGGCTTGAGATGCTCATCACATTTGTTTCCGAGTCGTTAACGTTCTGCGTCCTGCGATTAGAGGGGGCATTCTGAGCCACGTGGATCAAACGAAGAGCACGGTGTTTCTGCCTACTCGGAAAGGGTCGAAAAATGCCGCGTCACATGCAGTGGTGCAGTGATAATGCTGTTGTCGAATCTGCTTGGGATCCAACCTGCCGGTACTCACAACCCTTGTGCTTTGTGTCCAGGGTGGGCGAGAACTAACAACAAAGTGGTAATGATCTGCCTGTCTGCTCGCCGGTTGTCGAACTCCTTGTAGGTTGTTGTTGTTGTTGTTGTTGTTGTTATTTTTAACGTCTACTTCCGCCTCCCGTAGGGCATGAGACGTGCCGCACCGGTGAGTCTAGCATACAAATTAAGAGCAATGCCCTAACTGTCCAACCAAAACCATTGATCCGAGGGCAAACCGAGGCCTATTGCCAGTGTAGATCATGTGTTGCCCATAGCGTAAACGCGGCCCAACACTTGTAATCGAATCGCCCAGTGGGCAAAATGGGCCGAACTCCTTGTAGGTCATCCGTGAAAAGCTATGTGCATTCGAAGAAATCCTCACTCATGTAGTGCACCATGGAGAGCGTAATACTATGGTTACTGGCTTGCTTCTACTCGTGCGACGCAGTGTTCTAGATCCACGAGATGCCGTTTCACCAGCTGACAGGAATGCGTTCACGCATCTGATTCGACGAGCACGATGCACACCTTCTCGGCGCCACGAGCTAATCATGTACGTTAGCACCACAACACCGGAACCGCAAGCAAGATATCCGATCTTGCTTCCATACTTTTGGGTTTGGCGGCAAAATCGATCCAGATCCAAGGCGCTACCACCTCAGATCGCAAAATGTGACTGAAGCCCGAAAGGGACCTCTCTAGAGCTCACACTCCAAGATTGGGGTTAAGTATAAGAATAATTCTCCCCCGACCAATCGCTTGACTTCCGACGGGTGTCCAGAGATTATGATCGCGAGGTATGAGGAGGAAGGGGGCACTGGACCCTTAAATCGAGGATTTCCAGAAGTTGTTTGCCACATGGAAATCGAAGTCAAGGGTTTGATTGCCCTTTCGGGCCACCCCTGTCGACACCCCCGACATCCCCACGTGCTCATCTCAAGCACACCCTCCGATCACCAATCACTGTACCAGGAGGAGAAAGTGCATCGGCCCAGCAAGCGGAAAGATGTCAAGTGGTTGGAAGCTCCCTCATATGTCATCGAATTCGAAGCTGCTTATATCTAGTGTCTTCCCGTAACACTGCAGCGTACATTGGCTGTCTCGGATTTTCGATCGGGTCGTTCGTCTCAGTTGAGTCAATAGCCTCCAATGACACTAACAAATCCGCTGTTATCATCCGTCGGGTGTTACCTGTTCGCATCGTGATGGCACCATCGTTCCATGGGATGTTGAAACATGTTTCCCAGTCAAACCACGGCAAGACAGTCTATCTCCAGTCCAAAACTCTTCGGAAGGAAGACATCTACCTCTTCACTCTTGCCATTGCAACCATGTTTCGAGCTCATTGTCCCTCTGAAAGGCGGCCTCCACAGAATAATCATGCCGAGGATCAAAAGTCTCCATCAGCCTTCCCCGGGCCGTCAGCACTCATCGCCTTGTTTCGGTAAACCCCTGTCTAATCCATCTTGCTGAAGCCGACGAGGGCGGAACCGCTTGGTTCTGAGGAGATATGGAGAAACACCACACAGAAAAAGAAAAGAAGATAAATTAGATAGCCCATCCACACTCGGTGTTGACTCCCACCATCGGACGCAGCAGTATCGCAGACATCGTAACCGGGTCTACGAGGATGGGCAACGGGCAAGCATGCGAATAAAGGAAACGAAGACTGAGAACCCCATTGCGACATTGCCATCATCTCGCAGATTGGTCGATGGTATTTGGATGTATCAGACATGGGATTCCACTCGTTGATAGAGTTGCATCCCGATGGGTGTGTTGCTTGGCTTGATCCATGACCGCTGCGATCGTGCTTCCAAAGGTGTTCCTGATTTTCGGATGTCCGTCTCGGATCTGGCCCATCTCCTAGCCACTGGCTCATATGGATGCTGCTTTCTTGCGCAACCATGGCCGACCTCGTACTGTATTGTAGCCGTGTACTCCTCCGCACCTGGGCCCCGTTCGTCCATTACGGCAGACCTAATTTTTCGGCCGATCGAGCCGTCAAGCCGATGCATCGTGGTTCTTGGCTGCACAGAGTGGGAATGCGATGATGCGAGTAGGATGCCGTCGAGAGCGGTTATCGTGTGGCGTGTCGGGCTACCGTCAGGTGGTGAGGTTGTGACACTGTTTGCAAACCCGGCAATTAGTAAAAGGTCACATGGACCATGCCAATCTGAACGGTTGATAACGCAGCAGGTGGAAGCGGTGATGATGTATGCCGTAGTCTTGGTGATGTCGGCGATGGACAAAGTTGTTGTTGTTGTTGTT